CTCTGAAGGCAGCTGATAACTGTCAGACGGCCCTGGCCCCCTCTCTGCCTCCGACACAGAGCCCTCCTCAGAGCCTCCTCCAGACTCCAGGACTGGCCCATGTTCTTCCCCAACCTCCTCACTGTCTGAATCTGCTGCCAGCTACAACACCTGTAACCACAGGGATGCTGCAATGATCATAAGACTGAAAAAGAGTCGTAAGTCACTTTATCCAGTGCTGTTGTAACGTTGAATGAACCATTGTAAGTCAAGGACTCCCTGTATTCACAATTTGCCAGAAAGAGAAGCAGAGTCCCCATTCCCAAGTGCCTCATGCCTGTAGGCAGACATGCCCAGAGGAGAGGTCCCAACTTTAGCTCCGTGTTGGGCCTCCGAACTTCAGTCTTTATTTAATTTTGTATTTATGTATAGCAAACATTGAGCTGGTAACCTAAATCCACCTCATTGGGAACAAGCAATAACCTTCGTCCTCAAACTGACTTTCCCAAAGGCTCCTGAGAAGCAGACACAACTTTTTGTCCAACGGGGCTCTTATTAGTAAATAATAATAATAAGGATAATAATGGAGTTATTCAATTAAATTAGGATAGTAGGTCCTGGGAGAATTGAGGGATGAAGTCTCCTCTGAGCGAATGAATGAAACAATTCCAGAAGTGCTAATCCTACTTATTCGTTGCAGCAAGAGGGCAGCAAAGAACATAAAGAGACTCAATGCTCTCAAAAGCAAACGAAACAATATTAATGATTTTAAAAAAAACATAATACTTGACTATTTAACTACCAGGAATAGGTAGGATCTGCAAGTCGCCTTGATGAATGGAGCTAATTTTGTTGCAAGATCCTGAGTTGCAAGGAAGGCTTTGGAACTGAATATATCGGATCTTTCTTAAAAACCTCCAAACCCATTTTTATACCCTTCCCCATGTTCCATTTAAGGACTGGGACATAAAGAGGGCAGCCCTCGAAATATTTGGCATTTTCTCTCTCTCTCGCTTGGACTTTCCGAAGCGATATTCTATTCCGTGAAGCTGTTTCTAAGCCGCACATTCGGATAAATCTGGATCGGTCACCAAGTGTGATTTCCTGACTAATTTGTCTTTATTTATTTTTTTGGAAACGTTTTTATTTTATTTTTTTGATAACCAGTCTTACATCATTAATCTTAGAGTGTGTCATCTGAAAACAGTCTTTGTGACATCCTATTTAACAGTTACATCATTTTTAATCTATTTTTTATCTTGCCTTTACGTTTACATTTCAATTGCCTCCTGATTCAACTCCTCCCCTACACTTCTACGTTCTTTTCCAAATTGTTCAATGTTCTGTTTCCTTTTGTCTATATTCATTTTCTGACTAATTTGTCTTAGGGGGTCTACGTTCGTTCGTACATGATACTTCAGCAGCTTAGGTTCACATGTAAAACATGCCCAACCAGGAATCGGTTGA